TGTGTGTGTGTGTGTGTGTGTGTGTGTGTGTGTGTGTGTGTGTGTGTAGGATACAATGCACAATGCTTATTTGCACTGATTGCTGCTTTGATGTTGTGCAATCACCCCACAAAGTAAAGTTTTAGACCTTTAGGTTGAATGCATTTATTAGAATAAATGCATAAAATGTGGGACTGATCCATGAAAATTTGATCTTATAGCTAAAGTGCTGCTTATGACTACCATGTTTGTTTGTTAAAATGTCTGAAATTATGACATTTATGAATAAAGTTCATACAATATCAAATCTGTTCTTTTTTTTTAAATCAATGCATTATCACATTGACAAAAAGTATAATAAACAAGTGGTATGGATTTGAATAGAGAATGTAGTTTTTGAGTGCTTTTTATGCACTGGAATTAAACAGGCAATGCAAGTAAACCTAAATGTTTTTGACAGTGGCAGCTAATAGAGGGCGCTATGGTGCCACCACAGCACTCAACATATTACCTTGAAGATGTAAAAAAATGAAATAATACAATAAAAATATTTTGAAATATATGTGTATATATATATATTTTAGTTGTGTAAGATAAATATTTTATAGTTAATGATGAGTAAAGTTGTTTCTTTCAAATACGTCATCTCTGATTGATGACATACAATATTTCCGCCTGGGGGGAGGAAGAACCTCTGCCCATAGACCCTCATTAAAAGTTGTACATGCACAGTTAGCTTCTCTTCATTACAAGATACAGGACTATTCTGGGCGCAGCTCTCCTGTGCCTAGAGTACGGGCGCACGGTACGGATTGTGCTACCGGTCCCAGATTAGATCGTGCAGTGACACAACTAGGCTATGTGTGAGAGGCTAGCTGCTGCAGGCAGGCTTTAAGCAATTGAAAGCCCTTTATCTAATGTCTACGTTGTCATTTCTGTCTGATATGCCTCTCAACTTTTAGATATCTCTGTTTGTGAAAAATCCTTCAGCTTACTGTGTATTCTAAAATTCAATTCAATTCAAAAATACTTTATTAATCCCAAAGGGAAATTATTTGTTGTTGTAACTCGTTATCCTCATTTCATTAAGAGATGTTAAAGATGCTGATGCTGTAGACAGGAAGGATCTCTTGTAAAGGTCCATCCCTCAGTGGATCCTAAGAAAATGGCTGCAGATGCCGTCCGATCCGTCCACCCGGACTCGGCTGGCCTCTTGGTTCCCCCGGGCTGTAGGACCGCCCAAATGTCGGGCAGAACTCCTCCCAGAGCGATGGCCACTCCTCCCAGCAGTCTGCCGAGCTCCTCGTCGCTGTGGACAGCCAACTGTAGGTGCCGAGGGACAATCCTGTCCTTCCGCTGTCATGAGCCGTGTTTCCTGCTAGTTCCAGGATCTCAGTGGTCAGGCACTCGAGCACAGCTGGCAGGTAGATGGGAATGCATCCACAGAACATCCTTTCAACTCATTTGAGATTTGGGGCTGTAGTTGAGATATTACTTGAGCTTTTGAGACGTTAATCAGCTGCTGTTGGTTGTTGAAAACTGCCTTGTTGCCATGGTTACGCATCATAACAAATGTCCAAAACTACAAAAGTTTCAGTAAAAATCCTTCCAGCTGCACAGCATCTGATACCAGAGGAAACAATCATCCAGAAACATGTGATTTACATCCAGAAAAAGAGGAATTAAAGTTTCCAAAAGCAAAATCTCAGAATGAAAGTAACAGAGCTGCTCCAACATGCAGCCACCTGGAGCGGCACAATTCTAGAACATGAAAAGTGGAACTTTTAAAAGTGGAACATAAAAGTGGGAAATGGTGAGTTTGTTTGTTTCTGGAGTTAGCATGCTAGCGCTAGCCTCCAGGTTATTGTATTGGGCTCTGTGATAAATCAGTGCTATTGCTACATTTATTTGAATGTGCTTATAGCAAAAATAATTATCAAATATTAATACTTTTCTATACTAAAAGTCACTGCGAACAACAATAAAGAATCTCTGACTCTGACGGTATTGTTAGACTATTTCTGAACACCTGCATTTGTATTCAATTCAATTCAAAAATACTTTATTAAGCCCAAAGAGAAATGAATTGTTGATGTAGCTCATCCTGGTTTCATTAGAGTTGGTATAGATGCTGATGGCTTGATGCTGATTGATCTGGATAATGAAAAATAAGCCTCTTGCAATAAGTAACTAGCTCCAAGTGTTAACAACGAAGAATTTAAACTGAAGGTACAATGAAATGGTGAAATGCTATATTGTGTGCTAAGACGCAATATTAGGACCTTTAATATTAGGAATATTTAAGAGTACTCAAATAATGAGCTTGATTCTATTTATATTATGAACTTATTACTATAGTAATGATGATAAAACATGTACACGCATTGCTTATATTTATGATGGTTTTTGATATTGATAGAACCCAGAGTTATTGATCATTACATCTGTTTCACGCAGGCCAGGTTCCAGGTTCCATGTCTGTTGTTGAGCTGACCAGAATGGATGGAGAGCTAACTCTAGTTTCGAACCAGGAGATCAGTTGAATCCCCATAATTCCTTCCAGTGCAGTGGGAGGCGCTTATTGCCTACAGCTGCTGCTACATTCTCACACACACACACAACGCTGTAACCATTCTATGGATGGGTAAATGCAGAGGACACAGGATATCTGGCTACAGCTCAGTGCAGTATGTGCAGCGACACAAAACACAGGGAGGCCCAATATATTCAAAACAAGGTCTGTAATTTTGTAGAACTATAGGGCACCTCTGGAGACAGCAATGCAAGAACAGGCTGAAGTGGCAGTCATTGTAGTTGCATGTACCTGTAAACATATTTGACTCCTTTTTGACTGACAGAACAGTCTATTGTCCATGGAAGAACAGTGTCCATGAGGTTAAGCTTTGTACTGTATGGACCAGGGAAACAGCGT